CTTGCCGAGCGCAAGCCATTTTTTAGTGCTTTGATAAAGTTTAGTACAGACAATAAAGGGGCCATAGAAACACTAGTGTTAGTGTCGGTATTGAAGAGTAGGGTTTTCGACAGTTTTTTAAAGCAGCGGACATATTTCTGAAAGCACCTGACATGAAATGTTTTTGGTGCCACCTTGTGAGCGCCGAAGGCGAAAGCTTCCTAGGGGGTCTGAGGGCATGCCCCCCCCCAGGAAATTTTGTGAATAGAACACTCAGAAATGCTGTTTCTAGTGTTTCTGGAACCCAAGAATCAGTTTCCAAGGCAAGGCTGGAGTTCACTCAAATTCTCTTTAAAAAGTAACATTTTAATGACAGTTGGTAGGGAGGGGGAAATGGCAACAACAGAATTTTCAGTTGTTTATCATGGCGAGTTTATTTTTTATTGATTTTCAAAAAAGACATAAGGTAGCTTTGTCACTTCAATTTCATTTAAACGAAAAGGGAAAACAATCAAACAGCAACTAGAAATTTAATTGTGTATCCTGTTTCCCTCTAGTCAGTAAGTTCATGAGTTGCTTAAGTAAAAAGAAGAACACGCATACAGCGGCATTCTGTCTTGCTTGCTTGGAGATTAGATCAAGAAATGAGGAGGCGATTAATTCTGCACAAAACAGGATTTACTCGCTAAAGGTTGTTTACTTCCTACTTTATCAACGTTGATACTTTTTACTTGTTTCTGAACTGATTTAGTACATGTGTTTATAGCGAGGACCGGAAATATGTCTGGGGTTGCATACTATATACATGTGTATAAATACACGGAAATTCAAGGGCCTCGATTCCAGAGAAATTACATCATTGCCAGAGATCAAGAAAGTGATTTACATGGCACGTCATTTGAATCATCGCCAAAAATAAACCGCATGCTCATCAAAAGACCATTTGCATACAGTGAAAGTTTATAACACCCAACCATTGCAGTTTTGCTAATTAAGATTCTTCTTCTTTTTTTTTTTTCCAACCACCCAGTAGTGTTCACTTATTCCAAAGTAATCAACACTTTCAAGTGATAGAATTTTTGGACCAACACATTTCGAAAAGCTCTAAATTTTATCTTTCCAAACATGCGTGGCTTTGATCATGCAACGATTCTTAGTCCCAGTTTCCACGGCCTTCGCTAGGAATTCCTGGCACAATGCCCCCCCATTTGTGTACAAAATACGACAAAAAACTTGTTGCCAATTATGAGTCCTGCTGCTTACTTAAGCGAGACTAAAAATAGTGATAATAGAAAAAAAATTTAAAAAACCCTCAAATATTGGCATAAAATTAGCAGACATAGAATGTCAAATGACCGGACAAAACGTCCAGCCTCTTGCCTCAAACAAAAACCCTGAACGGGGTCTCCGTATTAACCAGGTCAAGTTGTTAAAGTCAAAAAGACACCTTTTATTGGAGTAAAATATTAAAGAAAGTAATGAGGATGTAAGCAGCATCAAATTGTACATCTCAAACCTTCACCAAGCCATCATTCCTGGGGCTACATAATGTAAGTCCACGGAAACACTAAAAATTGCTCATCTATTTATTGCATTAAACAAAACCTTTCTCTGCATAACCAGATTGATGCCAAAATAGTTTGATGTCTACAGTTCATCCTTCCTGGTGAATTGTAAGGTTCAGAACTGATTGAGATGCTGTGGAGTAAAGGTTTTTTGTTTACTTTCAAAAAGGAAAGGTCTTAATTTACTATAAACAGTTGATAGGTGTCTGAATTAGTGAGGTTGCATGACTTTTCTATGAGATTCTGTTGATTGAGCAAGAAACAAGTGTCTGTTGTTCTTGTTAACGAGCGTCTGTATTAAGTGAGTTAAATTTAGAGAAAAAGTAAGGGCTTTCCCCAGGAACAAAGACACCTGTCCGTAATAGCGAGGTGTCCATATTAAGCGAGTGTCCATAAAGTGGGTCTTGACTGTATTGATCTTGCATATAGGCTTCATAATTTCTGTTTTCTTTTACCTGTTAGGTTTTGGAAATGCAGCAAGTACTGTTGTTCCTTCTGCAGGAGGACTCACCACAGGGTTTGGAACAACGTTTAGTCAGCAGCCACCTACAGGTTAACCAATACAAAACTAGTAATAGTTGACACCCAGGGTGTAAAGACAAGTCTTTTTTACAGCTTGCCAGTTGGGCAAGCTAAAGCTAGCATTTACTAGCCCAAACATCATTTCAACTAGCCCCCCAAATTTTTTGATGACCAGAATTGATTTCACACTTCTTCTGTAAGTTGAATTCCTCAAAATACTTCACTGGCCCGTCGGGCAAGTTAAGAACAGAATTCACTAGCCCGGTAGCAAAATCCACTGGCACCGGGCTATCGGACACTACTTTCTTTGCACGCTGACACCAGAGCTGTCCCTGCCTCAGTGTATGTTGTCGATCAATTGCATCCTTGGTCTTTGTGTACAGCTCTTTCAAATTTTATACCGATTCATATTACTGTGCAAATTCGTGAGTGATAATACAGAAGTGTATACTTGCACTTAGGGCAATAATTCAGCTACCAATTGGTTATGTTCTGAATGTTTAGCTCAAATTTTTCCATTTAATCACTTAGATGATACATCTTTTGACCTCATAGTTTTTGAAAATATTTACGGTATATATATTGTTAATTATTGTTATTTACATGACGTACATTTAAATATGGATAGCCTGTATGGTAATTTTGGGAAATTTAAGCAGCTTTTAGGGTTACTTGATCACGAATAATTTTCAGTTACAGGTATATCTGAGACCTAGCTAATAACAGCACTTTAGATCTGGTCAATATACCTGGCTATAACTTTGTCTTAGATCATAGGGTAAACAAAACAGCGTGGTGGAGGTGGCCTTCATTTATTAGACAAATTTGAATTCAAAATTAGATCAGACCTAAGTACTTCACACCCAAGTTGCAATGAGGCTATTTTTGCAGAGATCAAGATCCCGGATCTTGTATACTGTGGGTAATGTCGACCGAGATATCGGTCAATATAGCGGTCGATGAAGCGGTCGACACTCGGTCAATAGTCGGTCGACACTCGGTCAATAGTCGGTCGACACTCGGTTGATAGTCGGTCGACACTCGGTCGACACTCATTCGACAGTCGGTCGATAGTCGGTCGACACTCGGTCGAGACACGGTCGATAGTCGTTCCAGATGTGTCTCGGCCGATATAGCTTTTCATTCACCGACACTTCGCCGACTTTTTGCCGAAACTTCGCCGATAGTTGGTGGATACTTGACCAATGTATTGGTCAGTAATTGGTCGACACTCGGTCGATGGTCGGTCGACACTATGGTCGATAGTCAGAAGATAGCTGTTGGATATATCGGTCGAGAGTCGGCCGATAGTCGATCGATATATTGGTCGAGATTTTTGTCGGTCTGTATAGTTTTTAGTCCGTTGTCAATAGCCCTGGAGAAGAAATTGGAGCAAGATTACTGAAATATAATCCGATTGCCCCCATTGACACATGGAGATTCTTGAAAAATTCGCATTTTTGGACATTTTTCGGTCAGTTATGAGTCCAAACTACTCAAAATTAAACATGAAAGCATGCCTTTCTTTGCAATAGCATCCCTTTTTGTGACATTTTTTGGTACGGGCATGCCAAAAAGTCTCACCCAATCTCTTTAGACTTTTCTGCTTTTTTTCGTTTTTCGTTTTTCTCTTGTTTTTGTCATTTTGCTGCCGTTGCTAACTGCCAGTTGCCAGTCAGTTCAAGAATTTTCGAGAAAGCATCATCCAAAAGGGAAATTCTTACCAAGCAATAAAGAGGGAAATTTTTCCTATGTTTTCAAATTTATAAACCTTTTCTGTATATATTTGAAGCTCAATATCACTCTGCTTTGGGTATCATTGCCGGTTTGGTTTCTCTTCCTTCGACAGGTTTTTTATTACTGTAAGAGGTGCCTTTTTTATGTAAACGCTTGGTAGAACATGATTACGGTTATGGCCAGCCAAGGACGGCAGGGGGTGATCCTATATAGTGGAAAATAATTTGATTGGCTGTTACTCGTAGATCAATATGTCTTGTAAATGAGGTTTTTTGATTAACTATTATTTTCGCAGGAGTTTCTGAGACAGTCTCTTGAAGTACCCAAAAGTATGCAATGCTTTCACTAAAACATGTGCATGAGTTTGCGATGAGTTCGTGTGTTCTTTGCAGTATTCTCCGTACGAAGCAGTAACCTGTAAAATTTACCATCTAAAACAACACTTCTTACTGCCTGCAACTGCTTGAAGGTTTACTAAAATTAAATACGTTGTTTTGAAAATACGCCGGTTGTGATCCGATCCAATCCTAAAAAGAAAATGAATGAAAACTGGAAAAATAAAAAAGTATACACAGCTAATGTCTCTGAGTTCTTCATTTCATTGCTGCATATAAATTCCTTTGTGCAGCTGCAGCGATGTGTGCTTTTGTCAGCTGTACGGTTTTTCACCGGCAACTTCAGTCCATGCTGTCATTTTTGTCCGTTGAAATAAAAAAAAATAAGAGGCCAAGCAGGTAACAGTACCATACAAACTTACCACTGACAATAAACTTTTTTGTGTCAAGCCTTTTCAAGCTTCCATATGATTAGTTTTCAGTTTTGATTTCCTGGAAAGTTTGATTTTCCCGACTTGTGTTATTTGACTGTAGCGGAAAGGGCAGCCTTCTTTCATAAAATTCTTCACGTGAGGTGCACGTGTTTATAATACTTTTTGGTCAATTGGTTGACAGAGTGTTGGAAATTACTAACCTTCGTAAACGTGAAAGTTAAGATATTCAAGACTGTAAACAAGTTTATTGATAAGATGGCTTTTAAGTCTGTTTTCGCCATGCGATCGATTGGTTCATTTGCAGCCTGTAACTTGCTATACAGACCAAAATCTCAAAGACAAATGCTCATTCTGCGGCTCTAAATCTCTTTATCTACAAAAAATAGGTTTAAAGAAAGTCATAGGACGTCTGTCAACCTTGAGGACTTGGATGCTGACTAATGTTATGGAAGAAGATGATTCTAGTTCGTGTTTGAAAATTTAATCGCGGTACACAGTTAAGAAGACGAAAATCTAATGGCAGAGATTCGAGACGTTTTGCCTAAGAGAAAACAAGTCATTTGTTCAACAAATACGATAACTAACATCTCTGCGAACATAAGTTTATCTGCACGTGATCATTTTGACAATTAAGCTTGTTTGTCATTAATTTTGCCATTAATTTTGCAGACACATATTTCCAGTTTTCAAAAGACTCCAGCATCAATCACATTGGCAAGCAAATACTAACAGTGCTCTTAGTTGTGGCCAAATAAACGTTTTTAACATGGCGCATTTGCATTTTGATTTTACTTTCAATGGAAAGCAATGTGTAATGTTCTATTGTTTCTGCGAGCTAAGTAAAACTTTCATTTTCAGATGCCTGTCAAATGACTGTCGCTTGTTCTGCACTTGTTTCCAGTCTTCTAAGCAGGAAGCTATATAATAATCATGTTATCAGCCTCATTTTTTCAGTCCGTACTGTGAATTATGCATCCTCGTTTTTTCCTTCTGGTCTTCTAGCCTGGATAAATCTCTATCTACTGGATAGCGCAACTGGTTTCTCCAATAATTATCCACTGGATGGTCATTTATCTGGTGGATAGTGCTATCCAACGTTTGAACAACTTGGGCCTGATGGCATCATAAAATAATAGGAAATTCGACAGTGTTAACCACAAACTACTGCTCAAGAAGATTCTGCATCTGCGGTATCTTGTTGTCTTGGTTCAAAGACTATCAAATTACTGACCGTGTCCAAAGGGTCACCGTTCTCGGGGTCAACTCTAAATCTCTCCCTGTGTTATCAGGTGTGCGGCAAGGACCAATACTTGGTCCACTCTTCAGGGGCACCCAACGACAATTTTCGGAAAATTATCTGTTCGGAAGACGATTTGAGGTCTAAAAATTTCGGATCATTTTCTGAAAAATTTCTTGCTTGCCTGCCTCTCCTAGGATTTTCGAACTTCAAAAAAATCGTATAATTGCCCATTTTTAACGGATTTTTACCCTAAAAAGGTCACCTAGAATTTTCGGGAGCCTTTTTTCTGGCTGAAATTTTCGAAAAGGTAAGTTTTGATCCCTATAATTTTCGGATCAATATACTTTCAGCTAGGAAATCCGAACAGATGAAAAATTTTTAGGGGATAAAAATAATCCTTTATCTGCCGTTTAAATACTAAAGTACGTTCATCAATGCTCTGTTTATGTGGTTTTGAACTATATTCTCGTTGGGTGCCCCTGACTCTTGTTCCTCATATATGTAAATGATCTTCCTGATGTGGCGTCCTCAACATCTGTTGCTCTCTTTGATGATGATGATGATGATGATGCCTGCCTACAGCGCGACCTCGACCACATTAACCAATGGCGTGATCTCTGGCAAGTGGATCTAAGTCAATCCAAGTGCGGGTTACTTTCTATTACCAGAAATGCTTGCCCGTTTCACTTCCCCTATCAATTATCCGATGTCCAAGTTATGATGATGGAAGCTGAGAAGGACCGTGGGGTTTTAGTTACTATAAATCTGAAATGAAACTCCCAAGTGTTGGCAGCTTCTTCGAAAGCCAATAGGATGCTTGGCTTTCTCCAGAGATCAGCTTTCGACACTCATGACCAGCGAGCTCCAAGTTACTTTACTTGTCAGTAGTTCGCAGTAACCTCGCATATTGCTCGCATGTGTGGGCTCCTCAAGCTGTTTATCTTATCTTTGACATCGAAAGAATTCAGCGGTGGGCAACAAAATTCATTCTGTCTTTGCCGGTCTGAATTTAGTTTAAGCAGAGGCTTTTGAAAACTGGTCTACTACCATTTATAATGTTATTGGCACGAATTTTTAGATTTGGTGTACGTATTCAAATGTTTAGTTAGTCTATCAGACCCAGACACACAGTCTCCGCCAAGGGTGTGCTGTTGAATACGATTAGGGCCAACACCGTCACCTTTGAGAACAGTTTTTACTGTAGATCGAGCCCCAAGAATCTGGAATACTTTACCAGACCGCCTCCGGAACGCTGGCTGTTCAGTAGTTTACTTTAAGGTCTCGGTAAAGGAAAATTTTAGTACATTGCTCGATTTTGTTTTTTTTGGATTTTTGGCAAAAGTGGGTCCTAAATTTTATTTTGGCAGAAAAAGAAAATCAGAAAGTGCTTTTTAACCGTTCTAAAATGAGCCTTTTCTGCGCTAACCAGCCAAGCGTGGACCTCGCGCTAAATCTTTAGAGCTGATTTTCTCTCACTCTATTTTAGACGCAAAAATCAAAATTCTCCGACCTCCAGTCGGGACAGGTTTTAAGCTATCGCTTCGAAACTTTCAGATATGATGGATAATGATATAGACTCAAAAAGAGTGTGAGGAATTTTCCCATTTCCCTTTGTAACTCATTTTATGCCAGTTTCTTTGCGTAAATCGCGCTCGAGATTCGACTTTTTAGTTTGAAATGCAATAATTCCGCTAATACGAGACATGCAAATTTCCTCACACCCTTTTTTAGGTCTTTTATCTGTCAATCAGATGAAATAAAAAGGAAGTGAATATTTAACAACGCGAAAGGGCTGGAGCTTCAGCAGTAAACTCGATACCTCTGAGTTCGAGAGCAAAAAACTTAAGCGCCTTTTGAAATTCGATAAAATAAAATCTTTTATAAGGTAATTTAGTCTTTTAGCTTTAATTTGATATATAACTTGCCTTTGTAGCGAAAATACTCGCGCGACTAGAATTTTTTTCTGTGGGCACCTCGTTTTCCTTTACCGAGACCTTAAGAAAGATCTTTTTAATTACTACTTGTGTCTCACTTAGTCTGTTTATGATGTCGACACCCCCAGACCTTTATAAGAGTGTGTGTATCAAGTGCCACACTCAGCGTGCAAAGAAAGTCATGTCCGATAGCCCAGGCATAGTGGATTTTGCTGTCGGGCTAGTGATTTTTGTTCTTAACTTGCTCGACAGGCGTGCTGTGCTGCTTTGAGGGGAAATTCAAATTACAGAAGGATTGTAATCAATCCTGCTAATCAAGAAGGGTTTGGGGGCTAGTTGAAATGACTTGTGGGCTAGTACATGCTAGCTACAGCTTGCCCAAATGGTAGGCTGTAAAACTGAGTTTCTTTGCTCCCTGCTGACACTAGTCGGCCATTGAACAGCTTGCTTGATTGTATGTGTTATTGATCTTTTATCGATGCCCTCCCCAATTCTGTTTTTGCATACCGTTTTTTTTTCCGTTTCTAAAGTATTGTCACTTTTGTTAGTTGTATTACTAATTTTCTCTTTTTTTTTTCTGGACCTCGTAGTGGAGCTTACCCTGTGAGTAATCCAGGCCTCTTGGCAAAGTTTACAAATAAATAAATAAATTAATTATGCAGAATGTAAAACAGCCTTTTACATATTGGTGTTCAAGTTTGTTATTCTCCAGATAATGATTATGTGTTTTTTGCTGGTTAGTATATATTAAGATTTCTTATCGATTATTCGATTGGATGCTACTTGAGATGAATTGTGCAAAGTTGCATCAGTGCTTGATATCAGAAGTCTTGTTACCTGTTTGGTATTGCTAGTACATGTAGGTGGTGTTTTCTTTCTTTTTTCTCCAGGGTTGTCACAGACAACACAGGTAGCTGCAGTATCGTTGGCTCTCCTGACGGCTGCGCTATCTCAGCCTCAGATATATGGCGATGAAAGAGACGGGATCATTGCTAAATTAAATCAGTTGCAGGCTTGCTGGGGAACTGGAAAAGGGTTTTATAACCAACAAGGAGCTGTTGACTTTCTACCTCAAAATCCATTTTGTCGCTTTAAAGTGAGTACATGTCTTTATAAATTTTCGCCTCAGCTGCTAGTAACCACCATTGTAGAAACATCCCTTGTACACTCGTTAATTCACATAGACCATTTGTTTATACATTCTACCCAGATTTTTGAAAACATTACTGCCAAATAGACCTCTTCTGTCAAATCGCCAAAGTAGCTTTTGTAAAACTAACATAATTGCAACCATTGCTTTTTTTCTCTTCTCGTCCTTTCTACCTCCTTGCTCTTTCTTTTCTCCTTTCTTTTTCCTTTGCTGGTTTGATTTCTGAGTTTATAGTCTGCAAAAATCTTGCCTTTTGGCCCTTTTTCACTCAAATGGATTCACATGTTGTCAGGTTCGCTTTCACAAATAGTCTAGATTTAAACTGTACTCGAATTGTGAACAATTGATTGTAGACAAACAGGCTAAAAGAAAACACAGTAATAATTTCAGCGAAAATTTTGTTTCACTACCCTCCTCTACTAAGATCCTCAGATGGTGACGAAAATTGTTCCCACTAAAATGGGAACCCTGTAAATGCCCACCAAAAGAAGAAAAAAAGGAAAAAGAAAAGTGGAGGAAGTGGGGAAGAAAGAAAGCAAAATGTGTAAAAAACTACTCAGTATCTTTAAATTTTGCGTTTCGTACATCATGATCAGTTTCATTCAGTGTTGTGTTATCGTGCGAGGTGAGTAATTCTAGCACTTGCAAATAAAAACACACACAAAGCACAATTCAATTGCTGGTTTGGTTTAATTATATTTCTAGATCGAACAAAATTATTTAGTGAAAACTGGACTATTGTAATTAAATTCCTGCATTATTATAATAAGTGCTCTTCAGGGTTATCAGGTCTAACACATACTGTGATCAAAGTGAGTGAAGTTGACGTTTTTAATTAACATTTGTCATTTTGACGTGAGCAACAGTTTTTCTGGGAGTGGGCGGGGTAGTGGATGGACTGAGGTATTTGTAAAGATGCTTACAGGCTCTCCCCTGTTTAAGTAAGGCAGTACAACATGAATGGCCAAAAGAAAACCAGACATATTATCTGAGGAAGACGAAATGACGAAATGACGGTGAGAAATGATGATGATGTTCGAAGACCTTGGGGATTGTTGAAAGGACACTGATGGGGCGATCATTGGACTTTAACATCTCATCCTCTTTCTTGTAGACAGTTGTCACATTAGAGAGTTTCTATTAAGTAGCCCCCAAACTTGAGATGATACAGTGATTAAAATATAAATAGCTTTGTAAGAGGCCCAGCAATGAGAGGAGCTGAAAGCAATTGGTTAAAAGCAATTTGGGCGATAATCCATCCGTGCCAACAGATTTCTTAGTGTTCAAATTAGCAAGAGATTCAGCAACACAAGATATACTGACTTTTCTTGATGGCACTTGGGTAGTTCATGAAGTCTTCCATAGAAAGTTCTAGAAAACATTCGTCAATTAAAGATGTTGATGTTGAAGATGTTGTTGAACAGTGCATTAGGATCAGGAACAAATGCTTCCTCCTTAAATAAGGTATTGGAGTCATCAATAAGCTTGGTATTTGGTAATAGCGATCTCATACATTCCTAGAACAGGCCAGTGGAATTGTTGGATGAATTGGAAGCTGCAACAAAGCAAAAGTCTTCTACAGCCCTCCTTTTCAAGGCAGTAACCTTATTTCGCTGTGACCTATAAGCATTCCAGTCTTCATTTGTAGGGAGCTGCCGAAATATGTACAAGCGGTTTCTTACACGAATTTGTTTTTGGATAGATAAGTCAATCCAGGGCAAATAATTGGAGCATGAGTGTCCACAATTTTCTTAAATAGGTTCTCCCAGTGAGACCAGATATCATCTAATTCATCAAACACATATGCCCTGTCCCAAGGGACGGCTCTTAAGTCTGAAAGAAAAGCCTCTTCATCAAAATTCTTAAATGATCGAAATTCAGTAATCCTTGGTTTCGATTTCGGCAGCTTTGTTTTCTAACGTTTAAATTAGGTACCACTTGCAGCAAAACGATCAGGATGCGGTGCAAGGATGATATCCAGTAATGTTTTAGATGAAACTGTGACTGTTGCATGTGTAATCAGTGATTGTATTGGTCAAGCAAAATTGATCACCAAAAATTTGTTAAGTTGTGACTTGGTCCTGGCAAGGTCTGATTTTCCGAGAGCATGTCAATATTGAAGTCTCCAATAAACATGATTTCTTTCGTTTTGTGTACATTTTTTTCTGCCCACTCAGCAACCGGTGGCAAGAACTCAGAGACCTTGCATTTTCGTGATGATCGATAACAGACAGATTAAAAACCATGAGCTTCCACAGCCCTTGACATCTAGTCAAATCGACTCAATACCTGCAGGCTCGAGATTTGATCAGCGAAGCGCTGTGATGGACGATCGAATACAGACCAGTAAACCCCCAGTGCCTTTTTTTGGTCATGTCTAATAAAATGCGATAATTCGAGTGGGCAAACAGTGAATTGCTGTACTTCCACCGAAATGATCCCCACCATCGAAATGATCTCCGCCACCGAAATGACCCCCAATCACCACCGAAATGATACCTATTCGCAATCGAAATGATCCCGTCATAAATTTTCGGAACCTTGGCTTAAGTGAACTTAGGACTTTGCTATCTATTCTAAATTCTTCGTTTATTCATGCAAACACGATTCTAAACAGAGGAAAATAGAGAAATCAATTAGACTGATAACAGTTCTATACACTGATTTTATTTTCAATATTTTAACATTTTTTAAGGAACTACCTAAATCCGCCTTGAACAGGGGACAGGTTTATCATATAACGTGATAACGAGCACGTTACAACTAGTTTTGCGTTAAAAACTTGACAGTGTTAGAGCATGGTGCCGGGCTATAAAATGTCAGCACATTTTGTCACACTTTTCTTTTATGTCAGAAAGAAATTCACAGTGGCGGAGATCATTTCGATGGTGGGGATCAGTTCGGTGGTGGTACAATTGCTCACAGAGCACTCAATCTTACTCTCAGTTAATAGAATGTCAAATTGACAAGTACTGAGTTAATAATCTCATCCACCTTTCCATAAATGCTGTTTACATTGAACTGTCCGATCTTCAAATTGTTTTTTATATATGGTCGAACCTCCCGTAAGCAACCACCCAAAATGTAGAGACTTAGCGGCCGCTTGCAGAAGGTGGTCACTTACAAGAATGGTACCACAGGGCGCCTCCAGCGTGAAGACGTTGGGGCACAACTACTTTGTGGAAGATAATAACTACTGCATGAACTTTCTAAGTTACGCCACGTGTACAAGTTCCATGTTGTTACTTAAGTTCTTCGTTTATTGTAATTAAGTAGCATAGTGCACACAGCAAACATGGAGATTAGAGAATACGTCTATTGGTTGCCTACAAGGGGTAAAAAACAAGGAAAATCATTAAACTTTCAGGCCCAAAAATTGGTCTTGGTCGCTAATAGGAGGTGGTCGTTTACTAGAGGTTCCAATTTTAAGGCTTTGACTGGACTTTGACTGGGCTTTGACGATAGGTAGTCGCACATGTAGGTTCAACTGTAGTAACCATTTGTATTGCAGTCGAACCACTCCATAGGTGAAAGTTGATCATCTTTATGCTCCATATTGCCAAAGTATCAACGTCATCAAACCAAAGAACATCTGTCACATAGCCAGGAGTGAACTTTGCTCACTTTGGACATAGCGACGAGAAAAGGCTGAGACTTTTCTGTTGACTTTCCAAAGCAATTGATAATTTTGCAACATTGCTAAACGGTCCCTCTAAATTACCAAAAGGCCATAGCCAAAAGTCAGCGAATTGCAACGTTTTCCCAGCAGAAACGCATCCAATACCCACAAACTTAGCCCAGTTTGTGCAGCAACACTTTACATGTAGGAACCTCTGGACTTGACTGTTGTATGCCAAAGAGTATCCTGTCAAGTGAAACAAGAGCAAAAACACGGAGCAGAGCAACACACGTCCGCTCCACGTTATGTAAATCCACACAATAATATTTATTAGTTTTTGCTTTATTTCTAGGTAAGTATTCAAGATTGTTACTGGCGCAGTTCAACACAATATTTGGTACTCATCACTGGTTTGAAATACATTCCTGTAGCAAAAGGAGAAATCATTCCTCAAGTGTCTCTTGCCCAAAAAAGTTATTCCATATTTTTAGTGTTTTAATTAAGTAAACAATTATTATTTTTCCTTTTGGGCTTGATGTGAGGTAATTAAAGGCAACTTGGCAACACATTGTAAGTGTCTGGTTGGCTATCTGTAAGACATATCCAAGAAATCTTGAATTGTTAAACATTTCAGTAATCAATATTCATCAAGTAACCCTAGGCTTGTAGCCTAATTTAAGCAGTATTATAACTAACTGTGTTCAATTTTGTTTAAGGTTGTTGGATACAGCCGACTGCCTACTGCCACAAATGAGGATGGTCATTTGTCCATTGAGATTGGAAGAAAAGAAAGTGAAGTGCGGCTCTCACAGCAAGGACTTGTTGATAAACTGCACAAGTGTCTAGGAAGCAAGCCCACCTTGATGGTGTGTATAGAAGGAATAAAATCCCTGCCTGAGAACAGGTACTTGCCAATATCACATTCACTAGTTTTTGAAGTTCACGCCCAGTTGTTGAAACTTTAGATAGGCCTCAGCAGGCAGATACATATTTTGGTAGCAACAAAGACGGATTAAAATCCCTCAAGATCGAAGTTGTCAAGAAAACAAAATACGATTTCATCAACAGCAAAAAATTAATGTCACCAAGGTGGCAGGTCAAAAAATAAATAAATGGCAGGTACAAATTTGTATGGCTCGCCAAAAAAGTGACAGGCCATAATTTTTTCTATCTTGATCCCAGTTCAACAGATAGGTTTACCAAAAACTAATTGGAAAAGTGAGGAACAAGTGCCCTAAAGACAGAGGAAAGGGAAATAGGAATCTTTATTTACCGTACAGAATAGATTAGTGGATGCAAAGTAAACTCTATTAATAGCGCCAACAAAACCTGGATCGCATCAAGCGAGTTGTTTCCCTCTCCACCGACTCCAAAGCTTTTGCCACCTACTTAAAATCTTATCGAAAACCCTGCCTTTTGTGACTTAATATGCACAGGAATGAGTTGATCCAGGTTTTGTTGACACCTCTTTTATAAACAGAGTAGCTGTAGCTGTTCAAAATAAATCTTCCTAAAAATATGGGTATGATTTGTTGCTCCCTGATGATGGCTTTGTTTAATGAACCCATGGCCACACAAATTCTTATCTTGTTCAATTTAGTCGGCTTGGGCACAACAACGATTGGTGAGACCTAAGGGGTTTGACCTTGGTTTCTATACATTCAATGATGTCATCATTTTCAAGCTGTTTGTGTTTTTCCTCCACATGCTTTCTTCCATGGAATGGGATTCGGTAATGTGGCTGTGCCACTGGTTTGACAGATTCATCTATGTGTATGCGTGCTAGTTCATCTTTGTACTTACCCATTCCACTGGTTAGACCAGGAAAATCCTTAAGAAAATCTTGGGTGTCAGGTGGTAGGTTGACAGGAGGTACGTCCGTGCTTACAGCTTTAATAAGATTTAATGCTTGTGATGCCATCTAGATGAGCTTAATGAACCCTTTGCTAAATAGGATGCTTCTGCGGATGAATAGCTGGTGACACACTGCTGACGGTAGGTTGGCAGTTTGGTGTCCATGTGAACCTTCGTTAAAGGTGTATCCTTCACTGTTGTCACTGTCATCACTGGTAAGAGTTGACATTTTACCACCTGAAGAGACTTCAACATCTTCAGACCTGGCATGGTGTTTACCTTTTGAGGGTTTCTTTGGGTGCGAAGATTTGGACCGGTTATTGGATTCGCCACGACAAACTTTGGAGAAATGGTTCATTTTGCCACAGTTCACACTTTTTACTTTGAGCAGGGCAAGTTTTTTTTTTGGCGTGGGTAATTTCAACCACATAAACCACACCTATTGTTGCGAGAACCAGACTTTGGTGGACCACCATAATTTTCTTTCTGCTGATCATCGATTGCTTTATTTTGACCAAAACCGACTGCATGCGATTACATTTTCTCCAGCTTGGTTGTCTGTTTGTCAGTGGTTTCCATGGCGTGAGCTACTTTCAATAAGTTCCCAAAATTGAGGTTCTGTTCGATTGCTTTACGTCTTAGGTGAAGTGTCTGAGCAGATGATTTTCGTTCCAGAATCTACTGCTTAATTTCCATTTCGGGATCAGCAAATTGACACTTGCGTGCTAGCAGTTGAAGACGTATTTAAAACTCAGTAATGTTTTCACCTGACTTTTGCGTTTCCTGTGGAAAGGCATAAAAGTGTCACATGTTACGCGTGATCATAAATAGATGCCATGATCGTTCAACCGGGAAAACATCTCATACATCGTAGCAGACATCCAGTATTAAATAGCCTCCAGTTTATACAAACATTACACCAACAACAGAAGAAAGAACTGGATAATCACAAGATCATTGGTCCGGTCTCCATGGAGTTAAGTAAAGCATTTGATACTCTGCCACATGACTTAATTGTATCTCAACTACGCTAGTATTTAACTGATGAGAAGACACTCAGTCTCATAAAGGACTACCTCTCTAATCGACTTCAGAGAGTTAAGCGTGGGGAATAGAAACTCAACTAGGCAAGAAGTTGGTGCTTGGTTGCCGCAGGGATTTTTACTCAGGCCCTTGTTGTGAAAGGTTTGAACTCAGGAGTCATTTCAAAAGTAGGTTGAGTTTCATCGTCCGGGTTAGCGTAGTCCTGTGGACAGTGGCGTTTGTTCTAAGTTAGTAAACCAGCTTTTTAAAGTAAGACGTTGATAGTAGTCTGTAGAATACGTTATACATGTCGCAGAGTCCCAGTCAATTTGATGTTTCGTTTTTAAATGGTGCTCAGCAATGTGATTGTTGACATCACCATTCCTCGTCGCTCATTTGTGTTTGGTCAGTCGCGTGCTTAGGTTTCTGCCGGTTTCACCAATGTAAGAAGCCTGGCAGTCGCAGCATTTGATCTTGTATACTGCTCCCTGTCTGTCCTCTGGTTTGTCTTTGTCCTTGACATTAGTAAGCAGTCGCCGTAAAGTGGTTATCGGTTTGTGTGCAACATGTATATTGTAAGATTGTCATATACGTGCAATAGTTTCAGTTTGCAATAGTTTCGTCTTACTTTAGAAAGCTGGTTTACTAACTTAGAACAAATGCCACTGAATCGTAGCCAACAGTTACCAGCGCCATACAAACGACTTATTGACGAGATCAAGCAAAACTAACTACGAGAGAACGACTGGAGAACTGACAATTTGACTAACAATAGACGACTGTTTAACTGTGACAATAGACGCATTGAAACGCGCCAATTACTGATTACGAGTCTTCATAGCCAATAACATCACGGCTTAAATGACAGACGACCAATAACATCGTGACGTAATTGACCAATCAGATCAATAACCAGACACTTTGACTCTGAAGATAACTACCGCACAGGTTGTCGAAACGTCAGTCACTGCCAACAACAACAGTCCTATCCAGGACTATGTTCACCCGGACGATCAAACTTAACCTACTTTTCAGGCCCTTTTTATTCAATTTGTTTGTGTACCATCTATTTTACGTAATAAAAAACTGCAACTCATCCACTTGTGCTGACGACCCTGATTTTTGCCGCTGAGACAGAATCAGACAAACTGCAGGAGATGATTAACACTGATCTATTTGCTATTGATCCACATTATGATGCAATCGGGATGATACGGAATCGCTAAAAATGTTAAGCAGGTTTTTTTGGTCATGAGTGACTTTCCAATAAAATCGATTTTTAAAGCATAAAAGACGCTCTATTCACACTTTCCTTTAATAAAGTTTTCAACTTACTTTCGTTTCTCTTTTCGATTTACAGATCCAACAACTTCATTCAAACTCCAAGAAACTAAAGTTCCTTTGTGATAATAGAACAATACCAGTTAGTGAAGAATCTCACTCTCCGTCAGCATACATACATACATTCAAGTTGGTGTTACTATTGACAACAAGTTGAAATTCGATAAACAGATGGACAATGTGACAAGAATGGTATCTCAACAGCTTGCAGTGCCAAAACACCTGAGAAACATTATACCTCTTGAGAAAAGGAAAAACTTTAATTTTATCAATCATTTATTGCCCCCATTTTGACTTCTGTTCTGATGTTGGGCATTTCTGCAGTCAAACCACATGCGACGTAAAAAGTTAACAGAAGAGCTCTTTGCTTCGTACTTAAAGAGAAAAGCAGTCTTTGTACTAACTTACTTATTAAGAAACTAGGAACTGTCATTATACGATCAAAAAATAATGAAGATTGCCAGCTGTGTTTTTAAGGTGCTGAACAATGACAGCAACATTTCCTCAACCCTAAAGGAATTAATGCTGTGAAGAGCTACGACTTACTATCTTTGTGGTAAAAATATCTTACTATACCCAAGGTCAACTCTACAGAGCAAGGTCTAAGAATCTTGATGGTACCAGGGCCCAAAGAAATGGAATTCTTTGCCAGAAGCATTGAGATGTAAAACTAAACTAAGTAGCTTTAAAAGACACCTGAAAAACATCGAGTTACACGTAACAATAAAATGTACATAAAATTATTAGTTATATTATATATATATATATATATATATCTCTTAATCACAAATGAAGACAGAAAACAGTTTCCTTTCAATCCACCTATATTTCGATCACATTCAGTGATCTTCTTCAGGGTGACTAACTAGCCGTTAACGTACACAACTTTTAAATTGCTGAATTACGAAGGTAACGCGCGCGCATCACAACTGAAATGACTGTTATTTTAAACATCTAACGGAAAATGTCATAGCTGACACTATCATCTCCTGCGCGTGCCCGCGCGTGTCTTGCGGTTCTGGGCGTAAAAACCATCATCCTCATTAAGTCCTTGAGGGCGCAGCGTTCCCAATCTATACATCCACTGTCCCTCCTTCTTCCTCAACTCCCTCTCACCCATGGCTTGTCTATTAACTGTATAGTTAAATGGCTTAATCCTAAGTGTCCCGAACTATGAAAATGCTGGTAAAGAAAATCGTCTTTCCTCTTATTTTTAGAAGACAACTTGAGATGGGCATTGATCCTACTTCTGTGATTATTGAACCTAGACCGAAAAGTAGTGGTAGTGGATCCAACATATTGAATGCCACATACCTTACAAGTAATAAGATAAACCACGTTTTTAGAGTTACAATTAAAGTTGTAATTAATACGGAATTCCTTCCCATTGGTTTTGCTGCGGAAAGTTCTCCCCACACACAGAAAAGTACAAATTTGGCACCGATTACTACCACACTTTAATGTTCCTGTTACCTCTTCCTTAGCGGCACTCCTAAACTTTGCTCGAACCAAGAAGTCGGAGAGGCATTTCGGTCTTCTGAAAGCAACCATTGGCACCTCTTTAATGGCATCCCGTCATCTCTGCGAAGAGTGAAGAACCGGACGTAGGTTCCTCAACATGCCTCCGATGTTAGGCAGACCCGGGTGGTACGTCACTGTGAAGGGAATCCTGGTATTTTCCTTTCTTTATTTATCCCTCAATGCTTCATCTCTAGGTGTTTGTCTCGCTCTATCCACTTGTTGTTGTATGACATTCTTCTCGTATCCCCTTTCTTCTAAAAAACTACACAAATCCCGCGCTCTGCTTTCAAAGAAAGTCTCCTTGGAACAAATCCTCCTCAAACGTAATGCTTGTGCATAGGGAATCCCTTTCTTGCAAGAGTTCGGATGACACGACACCCGGTGGAGATACTGATGGCTATCGGTGGGTTTGATGTAAACATCCGTCTCCAGTTTTCCCGATTCATTCACGACTTTAACATCTAAGAATTCAACTTCTTGATAGGACCATTTTGATGTAAACTTGATCGTTCTATGCGCACCATTTAGATAATTAATAAAATCTTTAAGACTTTCCTCCCCTTCTGTCCAAATTATAAAAATATCATCAATATACCGCCACCAAGTATGGGGTTTTATTAAAGCGTTTGAAATCAACTGTCTTTCTAGTTTGTCCATAAAAATGTTAGCATACGACGGTGCCATCCGAGTCCCTATCGCAGTGCCTAGTTTCTGGACAAAATGCCGCTCATAAAATTCAAAATTATTGTTTTTAAGAACTATTTCTGTAAACTCTACCAAGTCGTTCTTGAGATCCCCTAGTTTCCTCCCATTCTCCACATTGGAATCCCATGTTAACAATGCCTCTTTCACCGCCTCTATCCCCTCATCGTGTGGTATGTGGGGATATAACCCCACAACGTCGACTGTACATAGTATCGCCCCCTCTGGTACAGTGTAGATGTTCTTGAGTTTTCTTAAAAATCGTTAGTGTCCTTTATGTAAGAATTAATGGTCGGAACCATAGGCCTTAAATGGTAGTCCACAAAGCTAGAAATTATTTCCGTAGGCGTGTTGCAACCCGATATAACCGGACGTCCTGGGCAGCCCTTCTTGTGGAGTTTGGGTAGCAAATAGAACCTTCCGGCCCTCTCGTCTCCTGAAGCTAACAAATAGTCTTTAGTTACATCATCGATGTTCCCTTTTCGATGTGCTTCTGGTATGCTTTGGTTGACTTTCTTAATTATGGCACTTGTGGGGTCCTTCGGTAGTGGCTGGTATATCTCCTTATCAGTTAATTGTCGCATTGCCTCCTGCAAGTAACCTTTTTTATCCATGACGACAACACTCCCACTTCTGACACCATGTAATGTTCTTTATCTAACAGCACGATGGATCTGGATAAAACAGCTTAGTAAACGGGATCCAAGTTTTTTATTCCAACATGGCTGACCCAGGTGTTCATGCGCATGCTTACACTCATACAGAATACCGCTGATCATTACAACTTTCCCCTAACAGAAACGAAAAGAAAACAAATAAACAAAAAGGATAAGTACACCTTGATACCATGATTGGTAATACGGTCTAATGTCAAAAGGACAACAATTTCATGTAAAGTTCAAAATGTTTCCTCTAATTTCAACTTGTGAGAAATTTGCAAACTGTGACTAACAGAACCTTCGAAACAATGTTTATCAACCTTCCATATCAATGATGAGTTCAGTGTCACATAACATAATCCTTGAAACGCAAAGGCCTTCTCACAGTTCTTCCACTTGCTGTCTTGAGAGGCTCTGAGATTTCCTCCTCGGATGAATACATTTCCCCTTGCTCTTGGGATGTCGAAATGGGCTCTTCAACAGATGGGATTGCTTTATTGGCTGTTTCCTCTGAGGTTGAATGCTCATTTGCTCTCACGGTTGGAGACTTATGATGAGGTGAGATGTCTGTCGCTGATAGACCACTTTCTGGTGATTTTATTAACGCTCTTCTATTTCTGCGGTATTCTCAACCTTCATCAGTTCGAATCCTATAGGATCTTGGTGTTTCTGCTTGTTCTGTTACAACGCCTGGTTTCCAATGGCTCCCCATTTGTACTCTGATCCGGTCACCTTTCTCTAATGTGGAAAGATGTTTGGCATGCTGATCAAAATAGTGCTTTTGTTTTTTCTGTTTGAGCCTCAGTTTCTCCATAACTTTGTGTGGATTAAGGACTTTAGGCTGCAACTGTGCGTTGGTAGTGGGAATGATTGATCTTAATCGCCGGCTCATAAGCAGTTGCGCTGGTGAACCAATATCATCTATTGGTGTGTTCCTGTACTCAAGTAGTCCCAAATAAGGATCCCTGCGATCTTGTTTGGCTTTGGTTAGTAGATTTTTCACTGTTTGTACTTCTTTCTCAACAAGACCATTTGCTTGGGGGTACAGTGGACTGACAGTAGTGTGTTTGAATTCCCATTGTTTAGCAAACAGTGAAAAGTCCTTTGAGGAGTACTGGGGACCATTGTCACTGATTACTTCGGATGGTATTCCATGTCTGGCAAATATAGATTTAGTGTAGGTGATGACTGTGGTGCTTTTGGTGTCTGGTAGTTTGGCTATTTCAAAATATCTGGAGTGATAGTCAACAACTATCAGGTATTCAGATTTGTCCCAGGTGAACAAGTCTGTGGCGACCATTTCCCAGGGCTTGCGCGGTAAGCGAGAAGGGATCATTGGCTCTTTCGTGTTTTGCTGTTGATGCTCTAAGCAGGTGGTGCACCTTGATATCATGTCGCTGATTTGAGAATTCATTCCTAGCCAGTATAGGACATCTCTTGCTCGTCGTTTGGACTTTCCGATCCCCATGTGGCCTTGATGTATCCTTTGTAGCATTTCTTTTCTCATAGATGACGGGACTAGTATTCTGTCACTTTTGAGAATAACACCCTCGACTTCAGAGAGCTCATCTCTTACATTCCAGTAGACTTGAATACTTGCTGGTGTGCAAGATTTTGTTTCTGGCCATCCTGACTTGATCGCATCCTTCAGTTCTTTCAATGATGGGTCATTAGCTGTGGCTTCTTTAATTTCTTCTAGTTTGGGCTTCGAGACTGGTAGATTAGAAGTTAGCAAATGGACATGTAGTGCAATTTCTTCTTCCATGCTGCCATATGCTGTTTCAGGCAGTGGTGCTCTAGAGAGCATATCCGGAAGCACTAACTCCTTTCCTGGCTTGTATTCCAAAGTGTAGTCGTACTTCTGCATTCTAAGCAGGATTCTTTGTAGTCTTGGTGGTGCTGATGCTAGTGCCTTTTTAACAATGGCTTCAAGTGGCTTGTGATCTGACTCAATGGTAACTTTCTTTCCATAGATGTATTGGTGGAAACGTTCTAAGCTGAACTGAACAGCTAAGAGTTCCTTCTCAATTTGAGCGTATCTTGACTCTGCGTGAGTGAGGGATCTTGAAGCATAGGCAACAGGACGCTCTTCTTGTAGCAGCACCCCTCCTAGGCCGGTTGGGGAGGCATCACAGCTGATCGTAACAGGCTTTTGTACATCAAAGAATTTCAGGACTGGCCCTCCATCTTTAGTTAGGATGCTTTTAATTTCATGAAGTGCTTTTTCTTGTTCACGTGCCCACTGAAACTCAATGTCCTTTCGTAGTAGAACTCTGATAGGTTCAGTGACAGTTGCCAGATTTGGGATGAACTTGTCCAAGTAATTGACTGTTCCAAGGAGTCTTTCTACTCCTTTCTTGTCAATTGGTGCAGGCATGTCATTGATGGCACGCACCTTTTCATTATCAGGTTTGATTCCTTCTTGTGTGAGTTTGTGACCAATGTAGGTGACTTCTTTGCCTTTAAAGACGCACTTTCCTTTGTTCAGTGTTAGGTTGATCTTCTCACATCGTTCCAGGACAGCGTGTACACGATGGTCGTGTTTAACTTCTGTTTCTGCATGCACTATTATGTCATCGATGTCGGTTTCAACTCCTTCCAAGTCGCCAAAATGTTGACTCATCCGCTTTTGGAAAACTTCCTGAGCAGATGTGATTCCAAATGGAGTGACCTGATAGCAGTACCGCCCGAAAGGTGTGTTGAAGGTGGTTAGAAGTTGACTTTCTTCATCAAGAGGTATCTGCCAGTATCCTCGGTTTGCATCAAGCTTAGTGAACCATTTTGCATTTGCCATGCGTGTAGTGATGTCTTCGATGGTGGGAAGCTGAAAGTGTTCCCGCTTTATTGCTTTATTGAGGTGCCTTGGATCTAAACAAATCCGTAGACTACCATTAGGCTTTTCAACAATGGCCATAGAATTGACCCAATCTGTGGGTTCTTCTACCTTGCGAACAACTCCTCTCCTTTCCATGTCATCCAGTTCTTCTTTCACTCTGTCGCGAAGAGCTGCTGGGACCGTTCTAGGTGGGTTTACGACAGGTGTCACAGTAGGGTCTACTTCAATGTGGTAAGGTTTCTCCAAGCGTCCCAACCCAGTGAATACCTGCGTGTATTTCTGCAGTACTTCTTCTTTCAGTTCTTCAGACAACTTCGTAACCTCTTCACTTTTGTCTGGTTCAGTTTGCTCTTCTTCTGTCTTGGCCACCATAACTACTTTGATTAGACCCAGATCTTGGGATGCTGTGAGCCCCAATAATCCTGGTTGATTTGTCTCCACTATGTGGAATGTCAGCTCATGTTCTACATCTGTTTTAGATTTCACTGGTAGTGTAGCTGTGCCAAGTACAGTTAGCTTATCTTCAGAGTAACTGACTAGATTATGTGTGCAGGCATTTATCTGTGGATTGCTTCCAACTATCTTCTTTAGGTCTTTGAACGCATGATGTTAACTTGAGAGCCCGTGTCAGTTATGAGTTTTGTGATATGTCCTTTCACTGGCAACATCACATAGCACTCCTCATTCTGGATCTGAACTTCAGTAGTGACAGCTCCTACAAATAGGGTTGAGTCAGGAACATTTCCTTCTTGTTGCTCTACACCCAGTTCATGGACTTTTTTCCGTGATCTGCATACACTCTGGAAGTGATTTCGTCTCGGACAATAGTTACATGTTTTGCCATATGCAGGACACTCCCTTGCGCCATGTCTTGTTCCACAGTTCCCGCAATTGAACTTCTTGCTTGGGGGTCTTTTTTCCTCATTATCTGAAGGTGTTTTCTTGTCAGTTGACTTGTTCTTCTCCCTTCCAATTCCATGCACTGATGAGTCGTCCAGTTCTTTCATTTGCATATCCGTAGCTTCTGCAGATCGTACCACATCTAATGCTTTCTGAAGTGTAAGGTCTGGCACCCTGAGTAATCTTTCTCTTGTTTTTGTGTTGTTTACGCCAAGTACAATTCGGTCCTTGATGAGAGAGTTCTTCAATGTTCCAAATTCACATGTTTCACAAAGCTTTCTTAATATTGTTACGTACTGATCGATGCTTTCGCCGCTTTCTTGGGCTCTTGAGAAGAATTTGTATCTCTGGTAGCTGGCATTTTTCTTGGGTTCACAGTGTTCCTCAAATTTCAACAGCACCTTTTCGATTTTTTTGTCATCGCCTTCTTCGTTCCAAGTTAGAGTGTTAAAAACATCAATAGCATCGTTGCCGATAACTGTTAGAAGTGTTGCTACTCTGGTTGCACTATCCTTCGAACTTATTCCGGTCGCAATTTCGTAATTTGTATATTTCTGTTTGAACTTCTTCCAATTGGCTGATATGTTTCCTCCACTCAAGTCGAGAGCTTCTGGAGGTGGAAGACCTAAATGCATCGCCATTTCAGGTGTATTTTCTTCGTCTTCAACTGGTTGCTGTATTTCCTCTGTGTTTTCTTCGTCTTCAGTTGTCGTCATGGATAAAGAAGCTTACTTGCAGAGGGCAATGCGACAATTAACTGATAAGGAGATATACCAGCCACTACCGAAGGACCCCACAAGTGCCATAATTAAGAAAGTCAGCCAAAGCATACTAGAAGCGCATCGAAAAGGGAACATCGATGATGTAACTTAAGACTATTTGTTAGCTTCAGGAGACAAGAGGGCCGGAAGGTTCTATTTGCTACCCAAACTGTACAAGAAGGGCTGCCCAGGACGTCCGGTTATATCGGGTTGCAACACGCCTACGGAAAAAATTTCTAGCTTTGTGGACTACCATTTAAGGCCTATAGTTCCGAACATTAATTCTCACATAAAGGACACTAACGATTTTTTAAGAAAACTCAAGAACATCTACACTGTACCAGAGGGGGCGATACTATGTACAGTCGACGTTGTGGGGTTATATCCCCACATACCACACGATGAGGGGATAGAGGCGGTGAAAGAGGCGTTGTTAACATGGGATTCCAATGTGGAGAATGGGAGGAAACTAGGGGATCTCAAGAACGACTTGGTAGAGTTTACAGAAATAGTTCTTAAAAACAATAATTTTGAATTTGATGAGCGGCATTTTGTCCAGAAACTAGGCACTGCGATAGGGACTCGGATGGCACCGTCGTATGCTAACATTTTTATGGACAAACTAGAAAGACAGTTGATTTCAAACGCTTTAATAAAACCCCATACTTGGTGGCGGTATATTGATGATATTTTTATAATTTGGACAGAAGGGCAGGAAAGTCTTAAAGATTTAATTAATTATCTAAATGGTGCGCATAGAACGATCAAGTTTACATCAAAATTTGATGAGCGGCATTTTGTCCAGAAACTAGGCACTGCGATAGGGACTCGGATGGCACCGTCGTATGCTAACATTTTTATGGACAAACTAGAAAGACAGTTGATTTCAAACGCTTTAATAAAACCCCATACTTGGTGGCGGTATATTGATGATATTTTTATAATTTGGACAGAAGGGGAGGAAAGTCTTAAAGATTTTATTAATTATCTAAATGGTGCGCATAGAACGATCAAGTTTACATCAAAATGGTCCTATCAAGAAGTTGAATTCTTAGATGTTAAAGTCGTGCATGAATCGGGAAAACTGGAGACGGATGTTTACATCAAACCCACCGATAGCCATCAGTATCTCCACCGGGTGTCGTGTCATCCGAACTCTTGCAAGAAAGGGATTCCCTATGCACAAGCATTACGTTTGAGGAGGATTTGTTCCAAGGAGACGTTCTTTGAAAGCAGAGCGCGGGATTTGTGTAGTTTTTTTAGAAGAAAGGGGATATGAGAAGAATGTCATACAACAACAAGTGGATAGAGCGAGACAAACACCTAGAGATGAAGCATTGAGGGATAAACGAAGAAAGGAAAATACCAGGATTCCCTTCACAGTGACGTACCACCCGGGTCTGCCTAACATCGGAGGCATGTTGAGGAACCTACATCCGGTTCTTCACTCTTCGCAGAGATGCCGGAATGCCATTAAAGAGGTGCCAATGGTTGCTTTCAGAAGACCGAAATGCCTCTCCGACTTCTTGGTTCGAGCAAAGTTTAGGAGTGCCGCTAAGGAAGAGGTAACAGGAACATTAAAGTGTGGTAGTAATCGGTGCCAAATTTGTACTTTTCTGTGTGTGGGGATAACTTTCCGCAGCAAAACCAATGGAAAGGAATTCCGTATTAATTACAACTTAAATTGTAACTCTAAAAACGTGGTTTATCTTATTACTTGTGAGGTATGTGGCATTCAATATGTTGGATCCACTACCACTACTTTTCGGTCTAGGTTCAATAATCACAGAAGTAGGATCAATGCCCATCTCAAGTTGTCTTCTGAAAATAAGAGGAATGACGTTTTTCTTTACCAGCATTTTCATAGTTCGGGACACTTAGGATTAAGCCATTTAACTATAGAGTTAATAGACAGAGCCATGGGTGAGAGGGAGTTGAGGAAGAAGGAGGGACGGTGGATGTATAGATTGGGAACGCTGCGCCCTCAAGGACTTAAGAGCCAATGTCTGTAATTTTCGAGAATCGGTTGACAGTCGTGAATTTTTGAATTTCTTCATATTTTGCTCAAATAATCTCTATAGTACACTAATTTCAAAAATCACCTTAAAACTTGTAATAGCTTTTTATTTTTTCAGGAATCAGGTAAAGTTTGAAAAACTCTAAATCGGCGCTCTTTCGAGTATGAAATTTGCGAAAATTGAGCATTTTCCTCCTCGCTCGTACGTAAAAACGGAATAATATCTCCAGATGAAATCAAGTCGCAAAACAGACACACATTTTTACTTTATAATTCAGCAATGAACTTTAAATGAACCGTTTAAATGAGACTGTACCGGCCGCAAGAAGAAACACGGTTTCAGCACTTTTCAAAAATGGCAAATTTGACCTAACTTCACCATCGTAAAACCCACTTGGTACATGCAATTTCAGTATGAAACATAAACTGTATTAAAGCATATCCTTTGCTGTTGTTTGTGTTAAAATATTTCTGGCGGCATTCCAAATGCGCACCGTCGAGAGACCAAAACCTGAAGGGTATTTTGACACCAGGAAAGCGCGTGCAACAAGCAAGTTTCGACGCTTGGAATATTAATCCTTTGCAAACATAAGTTACTTCGACATTTAAACCCTAGTCAGAGTTGCAACGGTTTCAGACTATATTTCGGCGTTTCTGTTCGGTTTAACATGATTCCTTTCAACTGATTTTTGCGATAAACCATAATGAAGAGACACGAATACGCAGTTCAAATCAAAGTTCGTAGAGAGGAATATTGTCAAAATACTCGCTTGTTATAGTTTTAACCTTATTGAAACCTTAAAATCAGAAAAGTTATTTACTTACCTGAACTTAAATGCTAGACGGGGTCACAGTACCGCTAACTAAATTGATCTAAATTCTGCATCAAGGCAGATTCAAAGTTAAGTTTGTGTATGTTTTCAATCTGTCAACACGAGGGAAGATAACATTCCGGAAGTGCGTGACGCGTAACGCGCCGGAAAAGAAATTGCTGGTATACGTGTTTTACGGTGCAAGTCTTTGTTGTATTCGTATAGCATCTTGCACATATTCAAACTTGGTTTGTGGCGCCTGTGGCCCCAGTAATGCTGAATGTATTGGGATCATAGAAAAGATGTCGTGAGTCACTTGGTATGCTCCTGACTTGTTAGTCACGTGAGTATGTTAATGATAGAAGTAAGGTTTTCTGCATTTACGTTAGGGACCTTTGTTTGATCCACGAAATTGGCGCATGAACATAGGAGTTTTTCCTCACCACCGCTAAATGTTTGATTCTGGGTGGCGGTGCAACAAATCACGTGGTACCGTTCTAGATGAGGCTATTGGCTGCTCATAGAGGGGTCCATAAAGGCACATTGATTGATGACTCTGTATGGACTGAAGGAAATGATTTACGCAGACGTTTTCTGAGCGACAAAGGTGCAGCTTTTACACTCCTTTTTCGTTTCGAAAATAGACGAACACGCAAGCGAAGCGAGCGCGCGAGAGAGATCTCCTTGCGCTAATAGTCAATAAATCCAATGCGGTTTTTATTTTCATACGCGAAAATCGACGATCAAAGAGAAAATAGATCGACGATCTCTAAAGAAAAAGTAGGGGGTCTGTGAACAGGCTACGAAAGTGCTTGCTATTATTTTAGTGAACTTTACAAGAGGTCTCAGGTGACTATGCTAACGTCATGAAAAGTCTACTTAGCTTGTTTAAGTTTAGCTAGGGCAAGAGGAGGAGATGGGTGGGTTGGTACACATACAAAAATTCAAGTCTTTATCACTCCACTTAGAGCTAGCAGACTTTGTTTGATCCACAAAATTGGCGCATGAAAATAGAAGTTTTTACTCACCACCGCTAAATGTTTGGTTTCGGGTGGCGGAGCACAAATCACGTGGTACCGTTCCAGAACCGCCTACTGTCTGCTCCTTTAAAAGGGGTCCGTAAGGGCACATTAATTAATGACTCTGCGCGGCCTGAAGAAAATGATATACGCAGACGTTTTCTGAGCGACGAAGGTGCAGTCTTTACACTTCTTTTTCTTTTCGAAAATGGCCACGGACTTCTCCCCTCGCCCTTCGCTGCTGGGCAGTCGTTTTTGCCTGAGGGATACCACCTCGAAGGAGTTTTAGCGCACAGGTCTCTGCTGGTGCAGACCTAGCGAAAAGGGCATTCTCCTTCTGAAATTTTAAATCGATATGAAAGGCTATTTTCTGATTTGGTTAAAAGATGATAAGTAAAATGGCTGAGACATTTTAAAGCATTTTTTCATTTAGGCGACGGATTTTGACGTTATGAAAAAGAACTTGTCAGTGAATTGGTTTATATTCTAGCCTGCGAACAAGTGCCGGGGGGTGGTGGCGGAGAGAGCCAGGTGACTATTCCTTTTTTTAGGCGGGAGCTAGCATGTACGTGCATTCTGGTCTAACGCCATAATGAGTAGACTGGCCTTTAAGGAGCGGGAGATCAGATCGTCAACAGCAGGTTGAGGTCTAGCCAGAAGATACCCTTGCTGCAGAGGAGCAAAGCAATACTACTTTCAGTAATTTAAACATGTTAAATACTTGTATTTCGTTCATTAAATGTGTCCATTGTCCATTGTCGATTTGTGGTTTTTCGGAATGTTCTTTTGCGGAGCATTGGACAATTTTTCTTAAACCAGTTTTTTACTCGTTTCCATTTCCCTGCTCTACCTTCATGCTGCATATGGCGTACGTGTGTACCTAAATCCCTCAATTCATACTGAGGTGATCGATAGAGAAGTCTATACGCCAAGCGGGGTTAAGATTAGTTAATAAAAACCAAAGGCTCAGAAGGCTAAGTGCAATGAAAAGAAAACTAGTGTGAAACGTTTTGCAGACTCGGCTTGCTCTATTTGTTTTCTTTCTCTGTTTAAGTTTCGGCTTGTGCATCCTAAAATCAAGTTTGGTTCGACCTGTTTTGGGGAATATAAAATATAAAAACACTCGTGCGATGATTTATCCTTGTCTGTACAGTTGCGTGACAAGACTCAAATCAAACACGGGCTTTCATCACGCAACACAGGGTTTAGTCCGTGGCTAAACGACGGAAGATTTCAGTAAACTGCGGCCACTTGCAGTTGAAACGACTGGTAAGTAAATTCTTATAGATCTCGTATCTCATTTAGAGCTAGCAAGCCCTTTTCTAGCGGCTTTATATTAGGTGCAGAAACTCGAGGTCAATATTTACACTCAACACGAAATTAGCAGCCAGAGCAGCGCTGTCCTTTTCAGCTACTTGCGTGCAATCAAATGCACGGTTAATCTACTTAGTTCTTTTTTATTACTATCAAATTGAAAAGTGTTTTTCAAAAGATTTTAAGAACTTCCCGTAATGTGCCCCTTGTAAAAGAAGTTAAGTTTGCGAAAACGTTTGTGTGCTTACACTTGCGGCTAGTTTGTTGCAGCGTTCCAACGTGCGAAACTACCCTGCACGTTTCGGTGTCTCAGCGACGCTTTTTGTAATGCCGCCAAAACTTTTTTAACACAAGAAACGGCAAAAAATGTACTTTAAAATAGTGTTTGTTTCATGTTGAAATTCTATGTACCAATTGGGTTTTTTCGATGGTGAAGTTAGGTCAAATTTGCCATTTTTGTAAAGAGCCGAAATCGTGTTTCTTCTTGCGGTCGACACAGTCACATTTAAACAGCTTATCTGAAGATAACTGCTGAATTATAAAGTACAAGACTGTGTTTGCTTTGTGACTTGATTTCATTGAGAGATATCATCCTGTTTATATGTACGAGCGCCAAGAAAATGCTTAATTTTCGCTAATTTCATACTCGAAAGAGCGCCGATTTAGCGTTTTTCAAACTTTGCCCGATTCAGGAAAAAATAAAAAGCCGTTACAAGTTTTAATGTGATTTTTGAAATAAGTGTACTATAGAGATTATTTGGGCAAAATATGAAGAAATTCAAAAATTCACGACTGTCAACCGATTCTCGAAAATTACAGACATTGGCTCTTAATGAGGATGATGGTTTTTACGCCCAGAACCGCAAGACGCGCGCGGGCGCGCGCAGGAGATGATAGTGTCATCTATGACATTTTCCGTTAGACGTTTAAAATAACAGTCATTTCAGTTGTGATGCGCGCGCGTTACCTTCGTAATTCAGCAATTTAAAAGTTGTGTACGTTAACGGCTAGTTAGGCACCCTGAAGAAGATCACTGAATGTGATCGAAATATAGGTGGATTGAAAGGAAACTGTTTTCTGTGTTCATCTGTGATTAAGATATATATATATATATATATTATTTTTATTTCTGAACATATTCTCAGAATTTAATGTTATAGATCAACGTTTTTGGTTTCCTTTCATTTTTGTTTGTGGCAATACCTGGAAAATAGTGATACTTACGATAAGCTAAACCTGCCGTTACTTCCAGTAAAACAGAGTGCTCAATCTGTGTAGGCGCGCCTTACGTGAGAGGAACATCTGAAATGTTACAGCGGATCGTTAAATCCCACATCTTCCACAAGCCTTTTAACTCGCTGCAAAATCAACTGACACATTGTAAAGGAGTGATCAAAGAGATCAAAGAAGTGCGGGGTCGTTTACCACATCCAATGTGTACAATGCCTGGACAATCACATCGGCAAGACCGCCACGTCCCTTTACCCGGATCAAAGAACACCAGTCCGTGATACTCTGCTGTTTTCAAGCATTGCTAAGCCACGGGTCACAAGATCAACCCACAAAATGTAAAAGTCCTATCTGATGAAAACAACACCATCAAGCGCAGAGTCACGGAGACCATCGCTATTAAACAAAGGAAACCCTCTCCCTGAATAGGAATGAGGGCCTGGACCTTATAACCACCAATGCATGGTCCTCCCTTAGGGATTCGTAACTTTTCTGTTACGTAACCGGTCACCTCACAATGCTTATGAAGTCTGTTTGATTCTGACAAAATATTTGTTTCATTTCTTATGTGATTGCTCTGATTTTTGGAATTTTCTGTACTAAATACAGTACTCTATATGAGTTAATTAGTGTACTAGACCACATTGGTAAAGGTTACTACTACTACGAACCACCACTACCACTACCACCACCAATTCCACTACCACTACTTCTACAATCCTCATAGAGTGCGACTGAATTAATATATGCTTTGAATGTAAAACCATAGCATATCCTTAAGAACAAAACTGTGAAGGTACAGACGAACTATTCAGGGAATAGCAGTAAGTAGGGAAAACTAAATCGCACAGCGGTTGAAATATAATTATTACACAATGGTTAACGTAATTATCACTACGACAAGAGCAATTTGTGTGGAACAGAGTTAAAAGATAACAGTTAGGAGCATGGAGCTTAATTTGCAACATTGATGGTGATGGCCATGAAAATGTCACCATTGAAATAAATTGGAGCAGGTTTTTGGAAACTTTGTCACATTTTTTTTTTTTTACCTCACATAAAAGGTCAAATGTAAGTGAATTTTCGTGTAGTTAAACACACAAACACAAATTTTTCTCTCTTTCTGATTTTGGCTGTGGTACCCACAGACTCATGTCATCTATGAAGCTGACATGTAGCTAAGTGCGGTAAAAAATTTCCTTTCATGGTCATGCAAGGACGGCAAGGAGATGTAGCAAAAAGCATGCTCTGTGTATGAAGTTGTTTTGTTTAACTAACTTATTACCTCTTTGACGTTCTTGCTGCCATTGCATTCGTCATTGCTAAAGCTCCCTTCTTAATTAATACTATACTAACAAACGTTCTGGCACGCAAAAACAAAAGCACCGTTCAGTAAACTGATTTAGTTAATACAATAAAACTATCCTACAGAAAAGCATGAAAGAACAAGTCTAATACTACTATTGATTGGATGGAAGTAGTTTTTTTGTTGACCTAAAAAAGTGTAATGTAAAACGTCTGATTTTGCCTGTGAGCTTGACTTATCGGTGTATTTTTGCCTGAAACCAAGCAGAAAAGGAACAAACAAGAGTCTGGATGATCGTCCAGTATATTATAATTTAATAATTTTATTATTTAATTATTTTATTATTTAATGAACATTGAAAAGTATACATTGAAGTCTAAACACCTTCCACTTGATAAACAGTAAGTTGCTCTAACAATGAAAAAAAGAGTCAAAATTCCTCTCCCTGTTTTTTGACATGTCCAACACAACTGAGAAACAGGGTATGAAACTGACTTTTCGAAGATGAAGAAAATACAGAATTTCCGCACGTTTGCACTAATATGAGGGTCTGTATTAGGGGTGTGGGGGGTACAAATGTCAGTTGTCAGTTAAAATTTTGGCCATTTGTCAGTTGTCAATTAAATTTTAGGCTCTTTGTCAGTTGCTAGTTTAATGATTAACTATGAAACTTCTCACACACCACTGGTA